GTCTTTTTTATATATCTCAGAAGCCTCTAGAGAAATTACGATTTTAAATAATTAGGTTTAGTTTTAGGTTAGGTTTAGGTTTATTAAATTTGTATACCACCCTTCTCCCGAAGGACTCAGGGCGGTAAGCAGCCAAGATTAAAATACATGCAATATAAAAATTAAAATAAATTAAAACAGAATTAAATTAAATTGGCTTCCCAAAATTTAAAACCCTTTGCCCATAAAATAACCCATTAAAATTTTAAGCCAGCCCGGCTTGCTGAAATAGGAAGGTCTTCAAAGCTCAGGCAGGATCAGTGGTGGGCTGCTGCCGGTTTGGGTGAACCGGTAGTTCTGACCAGGGCTGGCCCTGCCCACCCACCTTGGCATTACCATGTCCTATATAATTGCCGGTTTTTCGATGCCGGCATGCATGTGGTCACATTTTCGATGCCTTGCTTCACTTGAGCGCGCTCACATTTTTGGTTCCGGGCAACCTGGTTGTTACAACTGGTAGCAGCCCACTCCTGGGCAGGAGGGATGGATATTCTGAAATGCCAGAGCTATATATGGTCCACAAACATACATATGTATGTTTGGGGACTATATACTTAAAGTAGGATCTTAAAGCAAAAAATATTCCCCTGACTTACAACCGAAGTCATGGTTATATCTACAGGAGCATGGTGATTCCATAAATGAATGAACGAATGAATGAAAATGAATGAATGAATGTTCTAGGGGGCTGCAATGAGTAAGGCAAGTGACCAAGAGTGCACAACTGTCATTATGAACCATATTGTGCAAGGTCTGAATAAAGATAGTCCTCGACTTATACCATAATGGGACTGGAATTTCCATTGCGAAGTAAGGAAGGTTGTTAAAAGAGTCGCACACAATTTTACGATCTGTTTCACCATGGTTGTTAAGCGAATCACTGCAGTTCTGGTGAATCATGCAGTCATTAAGTGAATCCAGCTTACCATATCTTTGCTTGTTGGAAGCCAGCTGAGAAGGTCACAAATGGCGATTGCATGACCCCGGGATGCTACATAACTGTCATAAATACATGTCAAATGCTAAAATTTTGTTCATATAACTATGGGGATGCTGCCACAGTCATGTAAGGACTGGATGTAAGTCCCTTTTTTCAGCAACTTCAAACAGTTGCTAAACAAATGGAAGTCAAGGACTACCTGTACTTCTGGATTTTGAGATAAAGTTTGGATTTTGTACGCCTGCAGGTTTAATTATTGTATATCAAGTCAATTTTAGAGATTACAGTACAATTTTATTGTAGGAGGAGAGCCCCATGACTCTATGGTAGCCAATAATCAGAAAAAGTATAGTAACACCTTTTCAGACTAACACTTTTTATTAAAAGGCATATCCTTGTTAATTACAACTCAGTTCAGATGCATGGATTGGACTAACAGAGGCAGGATTTAAACTGGAATGAGATGCTTCACTTAAAGGGAGGAGAAAGCATAGGCAGGTTACATATGAAACAGATTATCAGCACCCTATCAATTAACAATTGTAGTGTGCTAAAAAAAGATCCATTGTGTTTGTTAAGAATTTCTGAAACAGTCTGAAACCTTTTGATGTATCAGAGTTCAGCTGTTCTTCGCTACACTGTGCTGATAGTTCCTTTGTTCCAAACCAGCTATTTTGAAATCTGTTATGGAATATCCTGGGAGGCTAAAATGTTCTGGTATTACTTTGTCCTTATTCTGAGTCCTGATGTCAAATCTGTGGCCATTATTTCTTTTCTTCAAATGCAACTTGTTAGTCCTAAGAAGAATCTTAGACAGGCACTGTTGGCAGAAGATGGTATAGACTAGGGGTGGGTTCTAATTTTTTTTACTACCGGTTCTGTGGGCGTGGCTTATTTTGTGGGTGTGGCTTGATGGTCATGTGACAATTCTTTAGGATTTAGCCTGGTCTACCAGGCTTTTAACTGCTTGCAGAGCTGTACTGGTCCACCCATTTGTTTTTGGAGGCACTGGTCTACTCATTTGTTTTCGGAGGCATCGGTCTACTCATTTGTTTTTGGAGGCACCGGCCTACTCATTTGTTTTTGGAGGCACCGGTCTACCCATTTGTTTTTCGAGCGCCCTGGTCTACCACCACACTGCCTTTTAACACTGATCAGCTGTAGGGCGGCCCTTTGAAGCCCCGTGGCAAGAGTTTAAACAGTTTTTTTCCTTCTATCTGATCAGCTGGGACTCGGGAGGCAGCAAATAGATTGCAGGCGGGACCAAATAAAAGGTAAGACTAACAGGGGGAGCAGGAGGGCCCAGCTCCCAAACAAAGAGAACCAGTTCGGTGACGTCATATCATCACCGCTACCGGCTCGGCCACCACTGGTATAGACCACATTAGAAGTGCACATGAAGACACCCCTAATCTTGTGAATGAAGTTGAGGCCTAGGATGGGACTGCTGGTATGAGTGTAGCATACCATTTGGTTCCCATATTAATATCATTGTTCTATTTTTTTCTTGTTGCTGTGGGAATTTGTTTCAGGTTGACTGGATGTCTGTATGCAAGTATGGGCTTGCCACTCAGTATCTGAGAAAGAGCAGTGGTATTGTCCAAGATGGGTTGCAGCTTATTAATAATGTGCTTGCGTAGCTTGAGCTGATGACGATCAGTAGGATTCTTTTTGTTCTATTTTATTTTGTCTGTAGTTTAGAAGGTCCTCCCTGGGAATTGACTGACTCAATTATATTGTTTATTGATTTTATAGGGCAGTGTTGGGAAACCTTTTTGGCACAAAGTGCCAAAATGGGAGTGTGTGCACCCATGTGTGCGCCCATGTGACGGAAACCAGAAGAGCAGCCACTTGGCACGCATGGACATGCCAGAAAAATGATCTTCTGGTTTCCGGCGTGTTCATGCGTGCCAGCCACGTGGTCTTCCGGAAGACCAGCTGGCCAGTGCACATGCGTGCGCAGAAACCGGAAGTGACAATGAAGCGCTGCCCCCAGCCCACCACTGAGAACAAGACAGTGCAGCTCCACTCCTGCCAAGGGAGCGCGACCACTTCCCAGCCGGCGTGCCTCTTATCCCAGAGCCCAGCCAGCAACACTACCCCGCTGCCCCATGCGCCTGAGCCGGCCAGGAGTTCTGGACCTTGGATGTGCATTGGTGCCACGGGCTGAAGGACTGGGACCATGCAAGAAGCTCGCTCAGGCGGGAAGGCAGTCGTGGAATTCAAATTTTTTTTACTACCGGTTCTGTGGGCATGGCTTGGTGGGCATGGTGGGCATGGCAGGGGAAGGATACTGCAAAATCCCCATTCCCTCCCCACTCCTGGGGGAAGGATATTGCAAAATCTCCAATCCCACCCCTCTATGGGGCCAGCCAGAGGTGGTATTTGCCGGTTCTCTGAACTACTCAAAATGTTTACTGGTTCTCCAGAACCTGTCAGAACCTGCTGAATTTCATCCCTGGAGGAAAGCCCCGGGCTGCCCATCCTGGCTGACAGCTCTGCTCCCCTAGGAAGTGACCGTCGGGATCCCCTCTCCACGTCTTTGGGCACATGAGCCATTGTCCGTTGCTCTTCTGGGTTCTGGTGTGCCGGCCAGCTGGTCTTCACGCATGCAGGAGCAGCAGAAACTGGTAGAACAGCCCGGAGAGATGGCTTTGCATGCCACTTCTGGCACGCGTGCCATAGGTCCGCCATCACGGTTATAGAGTGAGAGGTACAATCTCTTGGATGCCTAGTTTAATTTCAACAATTGAAAATCTCTGTCCAGTGGGCCAGAACTGTTATTTGGATCCACCTGTGTTCCCCTTTTGCTTGACTATCCAGGAAGTACATGTTAAACACACAAGGAGAATGATCACAGGCAGGCCAAAAAAAAAAAAAAAAAGCCAAGCCAAGCCAAGCCAAACCAAACCAAACCTGGGAGCAGCAACAACCTGTGACTTTCTGGGGACTTCCCCATTGACTTTCCTTAATAGGAAGCCGAGAAGTACTTGAAATGAGGATCATGTGGCCATGGCAACATAGCACACAACAGCACTGTAGCAGTCAAAACTTTGCCCGATTTTAATTCCATGTGATTTATAGGTGGTAGTGGTGGTGGTAGATTTTGGATGCATTCTGTAAGACCATTTGAAGTACTTTGGTTCAAAAATGGTTGCCCTATGATACAGTTTCATCCAATTAAACGTTAAGCACAGACCCAAGGCTGTTAGTAGTATATAGATGCTTTGTTTTGTTTTATAGAACCGATGAATTTTTAATTTTAAAAGATTGCTGTGTAATCCAGAAAGCATGCAGGTAGAAAGTACTGAGGGAAAAAAAAAAAGTATGATGAACTGCACCGGGAACTCGTGGGAAGTGAGGGCAGAGAGAAAGAAATGAGAGCACGTTTGAAAAAAAAAAAACCTTTTTTTTTTCTTCCATCGGAAAGGATCACCTTTCAATGGTCCAGATGTGCGGGTAACATTGTGGTGGTTTCGGTCGGGGAAGGGGGGGAAGCGTTGGCGGGCGAAGAGGCGGAAGCGGCGGCGAGCCAGGTCGAGGTCTCCCTGCGCTCCTCAAGCAGCTCCGGGCCCACGTGCGTTGCGCTCCCGCTCCTCGGTTTGCTTCCCGGAGACAGACTCGCCGAGACGACAGAGCCCACCCCCCACACTCGCCTCCCGTCCCCTCCCCTTTTGTGTCAAAACTCAAACCAAGCGAAGAGGGTCTGTCGCGCTTTGCGGCCACGGAGTCGCGGCCGTTCGCCGGCCACGCGGCGCAGGAGGCGCCACTCCAGGCCTTGGGATCAGAGGGCGGGAGGAGACGCCTTCAGCGCGGTGCGCTCCTGTTGTGGCGGGCGGCTCCGCTGGGGCCGCGGGCGGGGGAGGAGAACTTCGGCGAGAAACTAACGAGGCGATGCTTGCGGTGAGTGGTTTTGTTTGGTCGCCGCTGGGGCGGGGGAGAGGAGGAAGCGGCGGAGGAAAACCGGGGTGGGTGGGTGGGGGGGTTGTTTTTCTTTTGCTTTTTTTCACCGGCTTTTCCTTAACTTTGGAAGCGGGAGAGGGGATCGGGCTCCTGGGAAGGCGCGGTGGCGGGAATCCGCCTTGAACAAACCCAAACACCTGGAAGCTGGCGCGCCGGCGGGAAAAGCAGGGCATCCAACGGCGCAAAGCGGAGCGCAGGCTGCCTGGCTCAGCCCCTCACACGTCCGCCGCCCGGGAATGAACGCAGCTGCGCTGAGGCCGCCTGAGACCCGAGCCGGGATCCGAAGCGCGCTTCCTGAAGCCTCACTTACGGAAGGGTGGCCGCTCTCACCTGAGGAAGGCGACCCTGAAGGACAAGGCGGGACCGGTCTACCAGCCTGCCTCCTCTGCGGCGGCTTTGCCTCTCGAGGAACAGGATGGTCTATTGAAGCGGGACTTCGGTAAAGATAACTATGTTTATGAAAAGGCGGGCCCGCTCCCCTTCTCGCAACAGTAGCGATACGAAGTAGCGGAAGACTGTTAATTGTTAATGAGAAATTGGAGCTGGGGGACGGGGGGGGAATGAGAATTTACTTCGAATCCAGCCGCTCTCCATTTCTTTGGATGTCATCGCCAAGAAACTGTGTGGCTCAGATGAGCGAGTGTGGATTCAGTTGGAAGGAAGGCTGGTTGTTTTCGCGGTTTCTTTCGTTCTCCTGAGCTAAGCTTTGCTTTGCCGGCAATGAAGTTATGGGCAAAGTGCCTCGGGTGCGATCTCCAAATCCCCTTTTCCCGCAGCAGATCTTTAGGGACAATACTGCAGAGTAATCTACTAGCCCCATCTCAATCTACATTTACTTGGAAGTTGGAATTTCCAAAAATGTCACAGGTTATTCGAAATAAAATGTGTGTAGGATTTGAATGGAATCAGTCAAGCAGGGCTGATTCTGAGGGCTGTTCCAAACAAAACAGGTCAGAAACCAGACTGATCATACACACTGTACAGTAAATGGATAAATACATGACTTTGTCTTGGAAGTAGAAAATAATATATCTTTTTTTGGGGGGGGAGGGCGGAATAAATGGTAATATAGTTTATTTTTCTCTGGCTTTTTATGCTGGAATTTAAAAAGCACCAAGTGAGCCTTCTCAAATTTTTAGTTGATTGCAGTAACCCTTCTCCTTCAATTCTATTTAAGGTGTCATAAGACTTGGATTGTGGGTTTTTTTTTTTTTTTTTTTTTTGGTAAAATAAGCCGTGTGTGATGCCCTTGGCAATTTCAGAACTGATCTTCCAGTTTGGGCAGGCTCTGCATGGGGAGGCATTCATGTCTTGCCCACATTTTAAAGAAAAGGAAAATCAGAATGAAAGAGAGCTGTCTTGAGATATATTAAGGACCCTGCAAATCTCTTAATGCTGCCTGGTTAGTGAGAGGTTAATTTTGTTTCAGCAAGACAAGGGTGCTGGTTTCCTGAGATAAATGGGCAGGAAGTGAATTGTTTCCCCTGCTGGCCAGCAGCTCCCAAATGCTTTTTGCACCTGCTACTCTGCATTTTTCCAGTTCCTGGCTGCAAGCCCCCCTCCCCTATTTTTCCCTTTGGCCGTGAAAAAGGACCATATTGCTGCTGCATCTTAATTTTCATCTGTTTGTCTTTGTGATTGCGGATCAGGTCCTGACGTACCAAGTGTCCTGTCCTCTTCCGTGCAAGTATAACACGCTCCACAATCTGCTCAGCACAGGAAGAGTTAAAGATGATGATGTAAGTAGCCAAGTATTTCAAGGCAGATTTATTCAGCACTTTTTATGTGTGTGCATGCACACTGATATTTTCTTAGTAGGGTGGAAGAGCAAAACAATGGCAATGCCAGGAGCTATAAAGGGCAGCTAGCTCTTACCCTGAAGTAGCCAGTTTGGAGCTCCATTTCTCTAGATGCCTTCCTTTCCCAAACACCAGCTCCTTAGTCAACTTTCAAAGATATTTGTCTTGGCAAGAATTTCAGCACATGGGAATTAAATGGTGTGTCTGTTAAACTGATAATGGAGGGGGTTGAGAAATGAAATCACAGATTGTTTTCAAACTCCTAATGTGCCTTGCATATGTATTTAGCTATGTGCAGTGATGATTCAATTCTGTTCTCTTTCTCACCTTATGTAGGATTTGTAGTGATCCCTTTTCTTAGAAGAAAATAACAAATTCTTTGTATTTTTATTGGCAAGTCCAGAAGTTGGTGTTCAGTAGATCTTGTTCCCAAGGAAATATCCATAGAATCAAAAATAGCATGATCACTTCTGTCTGATTAAATCAAAAAACATTGGGTTTTTTTTTTGGGGGGGGGGGAGATAATGATTAAGGAATAGGGAGTCCACTGGCTAACTTTTGATCAGGCACTCTTTGAACCAACCTTCCAAGTTGTTGTAGGGCAAACTAGGATTTGTATTGCACTTATATATAAGTGCATTACAATTATTTTAAATTTAAAAGGATCCCTGAAACAGCTAAACTACAAGTGAAACCCTTAACATTTCAGTATAATCTATTCACAATAAAAATACTAAAACTTATCTCACTTCTCAAAAACTTGAAATAATATTTAAAAGTAAAGTTGCTGAAACAAACAAGATTTATTTCAAAATAAATTATAACCATGTTCTAGGCACCTGGAAATTGGTAAGGATTAATCTATAAAAATTAAATAATTGAGTGTTGCTAATCATTTGTGAAAATGGATGATCTGTTACTAAACAAAATAAGGTGTTATATAAGCTTATTTGTAAGCAGAAAAAAATGTTCGTGACATGATTGTTTTTTCTCAAAGTCTTAACCACACCCAAACATTGAAATGCATACATTTTAGTCATAGCTCACAGGAGAGTAAAGTAGTTTTATTAAGACTTCATTCATTAGTTAGAATGTAAGTGCTAACATTTTCTTTCAATTAAGTTGTGTAGAACATAATTGACTTTGGCACATAATTGTCATCTTATTGCTAAACTCTTTATAAAAATATCCCTGCTGGTTCAGAGCAAACCTATCTTAATCTAGCATTTTGTTGCTCAAAGTGATCATCTAAAAAACTTTAGGATGCTCACAAGCAGGAAATACAGACATCCTTTTTTCCTGTTATTTTACTTCTGCAACTTGTATTTAGAGATATGCTGTCCCCAATCTGGAAGTAACATTATGTCTTCAGGAGTACTGGCTTACTTTCAAGATCTGACTTGTACACATCCCCCTCTCCCTTAAAGGCATCTAAGTTAGTAGATGTTACAATAATTGTGGCAATTATGCATTTATAGTGAATAGAACAAAGGAAGATCCTATATTGGAACAAGAAGAATAGAACCTAATATTGATTTTTTTACAGCTAATGTTTCTGTTGAATATTTATACACTTCGAGATTTGTCAATCACTTTCAATATGTTAGCATTTCAAAAATTAAATGCCATCTGGCAAACAGTAACAGTTCAACACATCAAAGTATTTCAATGGCAAAAAGTCCTATTGGCGGGTTAACGTTAATATTGAAATATTATGGTCATATTCTGTAATTGCAAAATATGCAAATGAAATGTATCAAATTCAATATTTTCTGCATTTACAGTTGATCAATACTGTAAAGCCTTTTTGATGACATGTAGTTATTTTTTTAAGTGAAAGCAGTAATGTTTCACAATGTTTACAATAACTCAAGAATGCCCTCTACAGTATGAAGACTGTTGTGCAGTACAATGTAGCATAGGAAATCTCAGCTCATACAAGTTTCTTCATGTGGAATTTGCTTCCAGCAATACTATTTATATAATGCATTTACATTAATATATTAACTGTACAAGGAAGTCCATCTTATAAGCTAGTGTAAGCATTATCACAGAATTCATACAAAAATGTTCATTGCTGAAACCATTGATAGAGGTTGGACTATTACTGGTACTGTCCTTGAACTTTGTCTATTGAATATTTGATTTACATATTGTAATATATGACTTTTCCACAAAATCTTTTAAAGTATAAAATGTTACCTTGCTATCGATAAAAATAATATCCAATGAATAAGTATTAGATAAACTAACACATAAGGAAGAGGCACTCATTCTTTATTGCAACTCGAATAACCACGATACATTTTATTTATTATTTATTTATTAGTCTAATTTATATGCCGCCCTTATCCGTAGACTCAGGGTGGCTTACAATGCATTATAGCAATAGCCTGCATACTTTTTATGTATATACCTGCTTATTAGGGCTTTCGGCCTCCCCCTAAGCGGTGGTGTTCTATACAAAGCTGGATTATTGCCCCCACAATCTGGGTCCTCAATTTACCTACCTCGAAAGGATGGAAGGCTGAGTCAACCTAGAGCCTGGTGAGATTTGAACTCCCACTAATTGCAGGCAGCTGGCAGCTAAGTGCTAGCACTTAACAGCACTTAGTCCGCTGCATCACCGAGGCTCTTACATAAACAGGATTCAGACATAACTATATGAATAAACCCCAAATAGCTGTAATTGTATAATAAAGTTTACTATTCTGTACAGTGTACAGAAATTGATTTAACAATTCAATGACTAAGATTATGCACATAGTAAAGCAAAATCAAATTATGTTCTAGCCTCACCCACTGTGCTTTATTTTATTCATTTTTTTTAAAATACTAGCCCAATCCCAAGATTCTGAAGTGAGTACAAGCAGAATTACAAGAGTCCTCCAATAAATACTTGCTAAACAAGAGCATCACTAAGAAACTCAGCTGTGGATGTGAAACACCTGTATAAAATGGAATGTTTAGGTTATCACCTTGAATACTAGAAGTAACTTCAACTGCAAGACACTAAAGTTTGTGCATGCATATTTGAGTTGTTGCACATTTATGCATTCATATCCCTGTCTATTTATATAAAGCCAAGACTTTTTAACAAAAGGAATGAGTTTGCTTTCTAAAATCACAACACAAGTTTTGTTATGCATCTCTTCTTGCTCCCTAGCTTCTGTGTGTTGAAAGACAATTGCATGAGCAAATATATTACTCTTCCTGATTTTATCTCTGTATTTTGAATGGACCAATCCATAAGAAGTTTAAAGTGATTAGAGCTTTGTATTGAGATAAGCAGTGGCAAGAGTTGCTTTACCTGTGGCCTTGCATAGACAAAAGATACAGGATAAGGAGCCTTTTACAAGGATGCCAGTTGCAGGCAACAAATATAGTGAACTGGCTCTCTGGAATGTGTGACTGGACTGCTCATTCAGGCTTAAAGACTGGCTAATGCAAGCAGTTTTCTAAGAATTTATATTTTTCACATTAATTTTGATGTCAATGCAATATAAACTTACCTTGAACATGTAATTTGAAAGTACATATTCACCAATGCTTCCATCTTATACCTTTATTATGGAATCAATCCCATTGGATTCAGTGGGGTGAAATTCTGAATAAACAAACCTTAGAAGCTTTTTTATGGCCAATGTACAAATAGTGATTCATATACTATGGCTGCAGTTACAATAATTTAGAATAAATTATTTCAGAATTAAGCTAAATATGATTTTTAAAATTGCTCATTCACTTGAAGAAAAAATTGCCATCTGTTGCACATAACTTTTTCATACTTATACAACACTCCTTTTTTTACGAAGTGCTGATATACCGCTCTTAAAAATTTTACTCTAAAGGTTCTCAAGTACTTTTTCTTACAATTGAGGCATTCAGGGGCAAATCCAGCTCCCTTTTTTGCATAGCAAATATCTCAAAAAAGATTCCACAATTTGAGGGAAATAGGAAAATTAATCCACTGCTTGTATTTCTTAAAGAATACACTGATAGTTGATAAAAAGAAAGGTGCATGTAAGCATCAAGATGATTCATGAAGATTGGATTCAATTTTACACTTACTGAATACTGATAAGGAAATTGGTTGCTTCTCTACAAATTCATTGTGCTTCTGACTAGCATCAGTTAAATTACTGATGAAAAAAAAAGTTGCTCTCAAAACTCTAAACTTATTTCAGTGACTGCTTTCTTACTCGCCACCATTCTAACATCCCTAAGGAAATCACTTTTAAAATTCAGATTAGTTACTTCAATTTAACTGTTTTGGGTGCCTTGGGGTCAGTTGCTGACTTTAGCAAGTGCCTGGACTAACCAATGCAGCTATTCTTGGCAAGATTTCAGAAATAATTTGCCACTGCTTGACACATTGTGAGTGGCCCAAGGGCACATAACTGGCTTTTTAGGCCTCAGGCAGGACTAGAACTCCCCGTCACCAGCCTAGTGCCTTCACCACCACAGCAGATTGGTTCTCAATTAACTTGTTTAAACCACTTTAAAGTTGGATTGAACCTGCAAGGTTTACTATTTCCTGGGAATTACCATCAATTGAAAGTAGATATTTGGCTAATGATAAGCCGCATTATACAGGTCATATAATTTTTGTTACTCTCTGCGACTGATTAAAATGGGCTTGTTCTAATGGCTCAATTACACCCGCATAAAAAATAGATCAACCCCGCTTGTAGTGAGCTCTTGGAACAATGGGACTGCTGCAATTTTAATTATGAACAAAAGATCTTGCATCATGCGGAATAATGGGAGTCACCTCTAACTGTGCTTTTCTTAATTAAAGACCAGCACGTCAACTAAATGGTTCATGAAGTAGTCAACTGAATTAAAAAGAAAAACAAGCCTATTGCTCATTAATTAGGGGCGCCAAATTACTAGAAATTGCTCGTTTTGTTTATTTGAAAGGCATCCGTTCCCTCCCACTCAACCACCCTCCGGGCAACAATCCCACTACTCGCAACCAACCACACGGCCTTGCAGGCTTGAGTACCCCGAAATGCAATGAAAGCTTTCCTAGCCCTTCCTATTTAAGAGTTCTTGCCTGAATCGTGCAGTTTAGTTACCGCGCGGGAAAAAAAATGAATTAAATCACATGATGCCCCCCGCGCGCTCCTCAGTTTGTCTCTGAAGCGAGCTTTATTGGCCGACCGTTCTTTAGTTCTGTTTCTGAATTTAGACGCACTGGCCGTTCAGGGTCTTTTTCAGCACTGTAGGCCACGGGGGCCTTGACAGAAAGATCGGTTGAACGACCTTTTAAGCTGTCCAGAGTGCTCCTCTATATACCGTCAATCTTTTTTCCTTGGTGGTGGGTTCCAAAGCAGGGGTCTCCAACCTTGGCAGCTTTAAGCCTGGCGGACTTCAGCTCCCAGAATTCCCCAGCCAGCAAAGCTGGCTGGGGAATTCTGGGAGTTGAAGTCCGCCAGGCTTAAAGCTGCCAAGGTTGGAGACCCCTGTTCCAAACAACTTAAAAGAGGCGGAGCACAACAGATCCAAACTGGCAGTTTTAGGTGGCTTTGCAAGTTCCGGCCTCCTCCGAGGCCTTGCCTTTGTTTTAATTGGAGGGCCCCTCTGAGCCAATCAGAGCGCGCCGGGAGGAGCTTCGAGCTCGCTGGGTGGGGGGGGGAGGGAGCGGGAGCGTGTGCGGAGCCGAGATTGTTTCCAGTGGGCAGGACGGGGCTGTGATTCGCGGCGAGTCTAACGGGGTAGCGAGGGCGCTTCTCGATCGACCGATCTCCGATCGACTCGTATTTCCTCCCCCACACACTTTGCATCCGGATTCCTGCTCACCCGCTTTTGTGTGTTTGTTATTTTTCTCTCTCTCTCTCCGCTTCCTCCCCTTGTTGCCGCTCCGCGATGCCGCCGCCGCCGCCCCTTCTGGGCCCTTTTTCCCTGGCGTGGCCTGGCGGCCTCTTTCCACCGTGGGGTTAAATCTGCAAAGGAAGAAAAAGAGGAAGCGCGGAGGTCCGTCCCCCGGCTCATGCCTCAGCCCCGTCGCCGCCCCGCCGCCGGAATCCCGAAGAGCTGCATGGACGGGCATGGGGACAGCGGCCCCTTTCTGCGCCATCGCCTCCGCCGCGGTTGAGGAGCAGCCAAGCCGTCCCGGTCGTCAACCGCGCCTCCCGCCTTCGACTGCCCTCGTCGTGCTGCTCGGCCTCGGGCTGCTCCTACACGCAGGTAATAACCGCCGCTGCCCCTTTCCGAGATGAGGGTGAGGGAAGATTCGGGGTGGTCTTAATGGGGATTTGGAAGCAAATGGGCCACGAAGTGAGGGCGGGGGGGGAGGGCTGCTCCGGCGGCCACAGAAATTGTCCCGAGTATTCCGACTTTTTTTTTTTTTTAAATAGGTCTTTTGGTTCTTCTGGAGTGGAAAAAAAAAACCCCGTGATTTGATTGGAAAATGTTTAAAAAGTAAACTTTTTTTGTAGAAGAAAGTCTGCGGCTGAAGTTTGGAACAACCCACTTTGGAAGAGTTTTTTTTTTTTTTTTAAAGAGAGAAAGTTTGGATTCATTCAAGGCTTGTTGCGCCTGCTAGATTTAAAAAAAAAAAAAAAAAGCGCCTTTGTTTTGATCTACAAATCCGGAGAATCTGACCCTCCCCGGCTGTGCAAAAATGCCCCTTTGCCCGTTCTTTGCAAAAAAAAAAACAAAAAAAAAAACGGGGGGGGGGGGGTTGGCGGGGCGAGGCGGGGCTGGGTCGACCGGGTTCGAGGGAGGAGGGGGAGGGGGGTGGCGGCCGGCTGCGTCGGGGTCTGATTGGCGCTGGGCCCTCCCTGCCTTTGGTGTTTACTGAGTCGGAGCTGGGATCGGATTTCTCCTCTCGCTGCCGCTCCCTCCGCGGGCAGGAAGAGAGTCTGGGCTCCCGTGATCTGCTGTTGCTGCTGCCGCCAGTGGAGGATCTCGGGAGGGGAAAGCGAAGCAATCGCGGTGTTGATTGAAAGGCGTCCGTCCAGCCTCTACGGGAGTTTAAACACCGTCTGGCAGCTGGAATTCTGTATATTTTCTGGGTTCTGAAACTATTTTGATGAAGCTTGTCCGTCTGTTTCTGCGAGGTTGCTTTGTGTGAGAGGACGAGCCAGTCTTTTCCCCAGGGATATTCTGAGAGTTACAGTTACAAAACGACTGGCGGGGACCAGGTTTAAGAAGGCTTATGGTAACCTCATTGGGTTAGTACAGATAGGGGTCTAAGAGTGGTATAGTTTTTCTCTCTTGTTCTCTCTGAATAAAGATCGATCGGTTTCAGCGTTTTAAAGACAAAATTGGTAGTTGTTCAGAACAAAATGGGGGGGGGGGGAAATCAAACTGTTTATATACAGTGCAAAAGATTTACCAACGATCTGGTATGGTAGTTGTACTTCAGCAAAATGAAGAACAAGAACAGTGCAGTAAAAACTCCTTTCAAAATCTATGTATTTAGCCATTCAGCCATAGATTAAGTGTTAATATTTTGAAATTATTAACACTTAGTTTGGATGGATTAGCTTAGCCTTCCTTATTTTTTTTTTTTCAGGAGGAAAGCAGTGTTGGTTTATGATAGCCCAAAGTCAGGAAGAGTTTGGTAGCATTTTATTTAAATAAGATTTATGAAAATGTTTTAATCAGAAACAGTGCTGTTCTGACATTTGTAATTTGCAACTCGTCTTATATTTTAATTTATTGTAGGGATATATTGTAGGATTCCCTTCCCCCAGCACCACTTCCCAGTATTTATGGCCAATAGGAATCCTGGTATTTAGGTGTATCTATTTAAAACATATAGCCACCCATCTTATAACAAAATGTGGGCAGATAAATGTTAGCTATGTTGGTGTTTTTAAAAGCTGCCCAAGTGCTTTGGAGATTTTTACAGAGTAAGAGGAAACACTGTTCGACATACTGTTCATCTGGATTGTGAAGGAGAAATTTAAATTTAAATAATATTGAACTAAAATATTTGAGGTCACATTTATACTACTACATTACATGCATATGTCTTTTTAATGACAGGCATTCTATCAATGTCCTTGGCTTCTGAAAAGGTATAAAAGTCCCATCAAGTGAATTTGAGTCTAACTTCATAAATACCCTTTCCATGACTTTCTTTGTGAACTGAGAAATGAAATCATGCTCAAATGAACAGAATTGGGAATACAAATTAATCTTGCTGTGTTGATGAACATGAGTGTTGCTTTTGTGAAAGGTTGGATATGAAATTGGATTTCTTAGTCTGTGATTTCAAGTGATAGACAAAATATGCATCCTGCGTATCATTATTATTATAAAATGAAGGTGAAGAAGAGTATGATCTGATGACCATGGATGCAATTTGTTCTGAATAGAACTTTTCTTAATTTCTTGATATATTCTGTTGTATAGTTTGGTTAGAGAAAAGCAATCAAATGCAGTTGTAGAAGCAAACACAATTTATCTACAGTTGCATGGTGGTTCAGTTATGGGATTGTAGGAGGTCTGAATAAAGTATTGCACTACAGCACAGATGTCAAACTCGCCGCTTCACATTGCCATCATGTGACGTTTTGTGACTTTTTTACATTTGCGGAGGTGGGGTGGGCGTAGCCTGTGTGTGACACATCTGGCCCATGGGCCACCAGAGTGACACCCCTGCACTACAGCAGAAGTGATGCGGGTCGGCCCCTTACATTTTCCAGGACGGTCCCATGGGCCTTGTGTTTGACCATCCCTGTTCTAGATTATCTGATTATCCATTAGTTAGAAGGGATATTGAACATAGATAAAGGATGTATTCCTACTTGTCCTTTATTAGGGAGAATTTCTTCAGTAATTTGTAGGATTTATTTTTGAATAACCATAAGAGGTCGAGGCTGCTGTTTTTTGGAATGTGCTATTGTGGACAACAAATGTCTATTACTACAATATCTATATGCACTTAGGGTCCTGCATAGATGGTGATAGTTTATTAAATTTGTATGTCACGCCTCCAGTGACTATTGCATTAAAAGGGTTTGGGGTCTTTTCTCAAAGAAGTTAATTATATCAAATGCTAATATTTCCCTGTTCAATCTTCTGCTCAGGTGATTGTCAGCTGCAGACACCATGTCGAATCCAGAAGTGCACTACAGACTTTGTATCCCTAACATCTCACCTGAACTCAGCCATTGATGGCTTTGATGTGGAGTTTTGCAAAGCCCTCAGGGCCTATTCTGCTTGTACCTATCGTAATTCCAAAGTCTGCCGCGGCAACCTGGTCTATCATTCTGCTGTGTTGGGGATTGGTGATCTCATGAGCCAGAGAAACTGTTCTAAAGATGGTCCAACATCCTCTACTAATCCTGAAGTTGTTCATGATCCTTGCAATTACAGTGGCCGTCAGGCAACCAGAGATTATCGCGGAGGAGAGCAGATTCCCCCTACTTACTTTTTCTGTGGCTTGTTTGGAGATCCCCATCTACGGACCTTTAAGGATCATTTTCAGACATGCAAAGTGGAAGGGGCTTGGCCGCTCATAGACAACAACTATTTATCAGTGCAAGTGACAAATGTTCCTGTGGTCCCAGGATCCAGTGCTACTGCAACAAATAAGGTATGCTTTGGGTCAGATGTTATCCTTTATCACCTAGTTTCAGAAGCTCAGAAATGTTGTGAAGGTTAACATTTTTTTCATAATACCTGAAACTAATAACTGTTGTGTATAATCTATTGCCAGTGAGGAAAATGAGTTGATTCTTGGCAATTAAAGAATGCATAGTTGGCCAGCCCTTCAACTACAATTTGCAACTGGTCCAAAAAAGTTTGTTCTTGAGGTACTAGTGCACGTACAATTATGTAAGAATACTCAGATTTAAGTACTTGATGTTTTGTGTTTGCTTTCAGAATTTTCATGGACAGCATTTTGGTGGTCAAGATCTATTTACATTTTGGAGAAGGGTGTAATAGGAGGGAAAGGGTTACAGAGTGGCCTTGGTCATGCATGTGGGTAGGATATGGAGAGGTGAGAGGGATTGCCTTCAAAATAATTTGAATAATTTGAAAGGTGGAAAGAGATGGCCTTCAAAATAATTCCAGGCTCAGTTGTGGTCAAGGGCTACATTTAGACATTTGCCTGGATTTTGGGTAACTGTAATATTGGACATAAAACTGCTGGCTTGGTTAACTTTAAACTGGCTTAGTGTGGGTAGTGGTTCCTCCGTGTGGAATTTTGGACATGCATTTGTGAAGTTCTTGGTGATTATTCAGATTTCAAGTCCCAGAATTTCATAGGTTGCCAGGCTGTGATCATGTGATGGCAAAACACTTATGCTTCTTTCCTTGATAAATGAAGAAATATACATTTGCTCTAGAACTGCATAATACTTTGTTGCAGAAAACTGCTCAGTAGAAAATAGTGAAGAATATGAGGCACTAGAAATAAAGTATCAATGTGAAGGGTGATGTATTACTTTCACACATGATAAGTCAGAAGGATCTTTTACACATGTATTGAGAAAATAAGTAATAAAAGGTCATCATAGATTGCTTGTTCCTTTAGTTGTTTATCTACAAGAATGTTAACTCATGCAGTGTTTGATATGTTATACATGTACCTGTCTCTGAATATGTTTTAATCCAGTATATTTATTCAGCTGACATGCCTAAACAAGTCTGTAAAAGAGATACTCAAATGCCACATTTTATATGCAGATTTAACACTCAAAATACTTTAGAACTGTGTTCAATCGGTTTAACCCCCCCCCCTCCAAAGGGAGGCAGGGGCACAACAAAAGACTTGAACAGTCAAAAAAATAATTTTATCTTTAAAATGGCAACTTCAATTGAAACATTAGTAATATGCAACCTTGGTTTGCAGTTCAAGGAAGATTGTGAACAATGGGAATTGTTTTCTATCCAATCGATCTGAAACAATGTCAGATTGAAAAGGCTGCTATTGAACTAAGTTTAAGGCTTTCTGAGCATTGTTTCCCATCTCCCCAAAGTTGACTGTTGTGATGGTCGCTGCAGATGAACTTTAGGACACTCACTGTATTAGATAGAGAATTTGGGATTTGTTATTACTTTTGACTCTGAATGGACTGACTGCCTCATGTTAGTAGGATCTATTGGAATCACCCAGAATATGGAGCCAAACAATAAAAGGTGTTAGTGTTTTTTAATGGAGGAAACCAGCATTTCATCAAATAAAGTGTCTTTATTTATTGTTGGCTTCACTTTCTTGAAACTGCAACCAATAGGAATACTGCAAAGTGTGTCTTTTAAATTGCTCTCTTTGTAACTGCTATTGGTAGAAACTTGTTCCTCTTCATATTTTCCCACTTTTTCTCATGGACTGAATCTTTCATCTCAGATATAATTGAATAACACAGTCATTTTCTTCAGTGTGTTTGCCCTTTAAAAACACTTGGAAAGCCAGTATCTTTTCCAAATCTCCTGTGGCAGAAAATGCCGGAAGTAAAAATAATGAGAGGCGTACCGTTCATGATCTGAAACTGCCTGTTCAGCAGTCTGCCTTGCTGTGTGTTGAGAGCATAGGCGGATATGCCGGCTAGACAGACCTGTTCCTGAAGTACCATCTATTGGCATGTCAGGTCAATTACAGAAGAAACTTGGAACAGTAAAATACACAGTGTGTGATTGAACACAACAGAGAAAAGTGTATGCATTAAAATGAATTTTTTTTTTCTTTTTTAAATTTGATTTATATGCCGCCCTTCTCCGAAGACTCAGGGCGGCTTACAATGTGCTCAGCAATAGCCTTCATCCTTTTTGTATATTTATACAAAGTCAGCTTATTGCCCCCACAAACTGGGTCCTCATTTCACCTACCTTAGAAAGGATGGAAGGCTGAGTCAACCTTGAGCCTTGGCGAGATTCGAACCCTGCAGTAATTGCAGGCAGCTGGTCTTAAGCAGCTTAAAAACAGGGTGCCTTAAACCCTTGTACTACCAAGGCTCTTGCATAATTTGTGCACTTAGGGATGGCTTAATCCAGTGGTGGGTTTCAAATTTTTTTACTACTGGTTCTGTGGGCGTGGCTTGCTTGGTGAGCATGGCTTGGTGGTCATGTGACTGAGTGGGCGTGGGCAACTTGACATCACACAGCCACGGCCACTCATTCACATGACCACCCCACCTAGCCACACCCACAGAAAAATGTTTGAATTTCTACCTATCTACTTATTTTCTGCCCAGGCCTGACCTAATCTATCAAAGACATCCTCCTGCATGCCACCCTGCCCTCCCTTTTGTCAATCACACACGTTGCCCCGTTTCCCCTCCTTCAGCGGTCCCAGCCTTAGTGCTCCCCCACCACCACCTCTTTCTTCGGGCTGCTTACCTTCTTCCTGTGGTGGCTGGTCCAGAGTCCGGAAGGCAAGCTGACCTCAGGTAGTTTTCGGCAACCTCCAGCCAGTCACCGCTGCGTGCAAGCAGCTCTCAAAGAGCGGCAGCTGGGAGGCTTCTTGCAGTCGCATTGCCATTGCCATTGAAAATTACCAGAGGTCAGTGACAAAGCCACTGCCATCGCCCTGTTCTTTGTGCCGGCCACGCACGTGCATCCCATTGCCTGCTGTGTTGCACTCGGACTGACACAGCAGGCAATGGGATATGACGACAGCAGCTTTTTCGGTGACCTCTGGTAGTTTTTGGCGGCAATGCAATTGTGAGAAGCCTTCCAGCCACCTCTTTGAGAGCTGCTTCCTGGCAGTCAGGCGGGCGGGCAGGACAAGCGAGCAGCAACCGGGCTACCAGATCGGGGGCGTGGCCAGTCAGCAGTTGCCAATGGTTCGGCGCCCCAGGCCAAATTACTACTACCGGTTCTCCCGACCCGGTGCGAACTGGTAGAAACCTACCACTGGCTTAATCCAGTTTGCAACTATATCTCTCTAGATCTAAAATGAAATCAGTCTATTTCCGGATTTAATACTGAACACACTGTGAATCTGCGGTTTAAGGACATTCAAGCCAAAGCAGAAAATGAAACATCATTTGGAGCTCAAGAAGTTTCCAGAATGCCCCAGCCTCTAGTTGTGCATTACAATGAGGCCATTGGAGCAAATGGAGTTCTGCTTGGAAACACTCTCCTCTGAGTGCACCTTAAATAGATAAGGATTTTTTTTGCTCAGAAAACTTGAAGCAGTAATCTTAACTGTCTAGTCCAACGATTCTTGTCCTTGGCAGTTTTAAAATGCATGGACTTCAACTACCAGAATTCTGCAGTCACCATGCTGCTTAGGGAATTCTGAGAGTTGAAGTCCACATAACGTAAAGCTGTCAAAGTTGGGAAACACTGCTCTAGTTCTTAGTATTTATCTGATTACTTTAAGTGGGCAGAATCAAAGGTTTTATTTGAAAGAGTAAGCTACATTATACAGGTCCTCTACTTACATTCATTTGTTTAGTGACTGTTCGAAGTTACAATAGCACTGAAAAATGGCTGATGACAGTTTTCACACAACCATTGCAGCAGCATGATCATGTGATCGATATTTGGACACTTGACAACTGGAAGTGTCCTGGGGACATATTATCACCTTTTGCATCCTTCTGACAAGCAACATCATTGGAGGAAGCCATATTCACTCAACAACCATGTTACTAACTTAACATCTGCAGTGGTTCACTTAACAACTGTGGCAAGAAAGATCATATAATGTGGCAAAACTTATTTAACAACTGTCTCACTTACAAACATGAATTTTAGTCTCAATTATACTCATAAATCAAGGATTATCTGTAGTAGAGTAGTTTTCTTTAGAAAATGCTTTGTTTCTAAATTGAGCAACACAATTTAATAGAATACATTGAATATTATTAAATAATAATAAAATAGAATAGCTAGAATCTTCAAACTTTTTCCCTAAAGAGATTTTGCTTAAAAACATAACTTTTTACAATGTACTGCAAATGAAAACGTGGATAACCTTTTTCACATGTTGAAAGATTAGTATTTCCTATTTTTTTCTAGAACTTTCTTCTAGAAATAAAAAAATATATTAAATCAATTAATAAATAATGATATATCTTTTAAAATTCCAGAAAAAAAAAATTGAAATGACATTTTGAATTTCAATAAAATATTAACACACACAGGGATGGATTAAATATTTTATTTTTTTGTCCCCGCTATTGGAATATTTTTCATATTTATACAGCAATATAATTAATATCTGTTAATTTCAGTTTTTGTCAGTTTATAATTTTGAATATAATTCATATCCATATTTTTTCCAAATATGCACACACCGATTTTCAATTGCTCTCAGAATTAGAACTGTCATTAATTATATAATGACAGTATGCTAAAAGTTATTGTTTTGTTATTCTGAATTACCATGCTTGAATTTAATAAAGGAATAAAGATGGTCAGTGAAGGTTTGCAGGTGGTCATTGACTTATTGAGTTGAGAATCTTGTCAGGAGGACAACTTGTACAAATTGGATGTTAGTTGATCACTTCAAGGTTATATCTTGTAGCTCTACATATTGCAGAGCTGATATTGATGGATGCATAATTTCAACACAGAAAGTCTTTAATAGAAAACCACCTTTTTTGAAGCTGGGAGTTGGCCACAATACCTTTAAAATAATAT